TCCTTGCTCTGCTGCTTCTCCAGCTCATTGTTCTTCATTGGTGAGCCCCAGAACTGGACTTGCCGTTTGCGACAGCCAGCATTTGGCATCAGCTTTGTCCTCTGCATCTCTTGCATCCTGGTGAAAACCAACCGTGTCCTGCTCGTCTTCGAGGCAAAGATTCCCACGAGCCTCCACCGAAAGTGGTGGGGCCTCAACCTCCAGTTCCTCCTGGTCTTCTTATGCACATTTGTGCAGATTGTCATCTGTGTGATTTGGCTCTACACAGCTCCACCATCCAGTTACCGAAACCATGAATTGGAGGATGAGATTATCTTCATTACCTGCCATGAAGGCTCCCTGATGGCCCTCGGCTTCCTCATTGGCTACACCTGCCTACTGGCAGCCATCTGTTTCTTCTTCGCCTTCAAGTCTCGAAAGCTGCCTGAGAATTTTAACGAGGCCAAGTTCATCACCTTCAGCATGCTGATATTCTTCATTGTGTGGATTTCCTTCATCCCTGCTTACGCCAGCACATACGGCAAGTTTGTCTCTGCTGTGGAGGTGATTGCGATACTGGCTGCCAGCTTTGGGCTCCTGGCCTGCATCTTCTTCAACAAAGTCTACATCATCCTCTTCAAGCCCTCCCGCAACACAATCGAGGAGGTGCGCTGCAGCACAGCTGCCCACGCTTTCAAAGTGGCTGCCAGGGCCACACTGAGACGGAGCAACGTGTCCCGCAAGCGCTCCAACAGCCTGGGGGGCTCCACCGGCTCCACCCCTTCCTCCTCCATCAGCAGCAAGAGCAACCATGAGGATCCTTTTCCTCTACCAGCCTCTGCCGAGCGGCAGCGCCAGCAGCAGCGTGGGTGCAAGCAAAAAGTCAGCTTCGGGAGTGGCACAGTCACCCTCTCACTGAGCTTCGAGGAGCCGCAGAAGAACGCCATGGCCAACAGGAATGCCAAGCGCAGGAACTCGCTGGAGGCTCAGAACAGCGACGACAGCCTGATGCGGCACCGGGCCCTGCTTCCTCTGCAGATCAGCGAGCCCCTCGGCGCTGAGTCCAGCTTCCAGGCAGCTTCCAGCCCAGAGACCAGCTCGCAGGAATCAGTGGCGGGAGACAACAAAGAAGAGGTACCAAGCCCTGAGGCAGAGCCTTCCCTGCAATCGGCTAACTCCCGAAATTTTATAGGCACTGGAGGTGGCTCTGTGACAGAGAACACGATACATTCCTAACAAAAGAAGATTGTGAAAAGCACACGAGCCCCCAAGAGGAACTTGCTCACCTCTTGCTTCTGAATGGGAAAGACAACAAAGACACACACCCCTGTTACACAGCCCCACCACACCGTACTGTTAGCATCAGCAGGGTAACACATGTGCCTCCAGAGGAAGGACTGTGTCTGGGGTGCCTTGGACTGAATTTGCATTTGCTCTATTGAAACCAGGACATCTCAGAAGGACAAGTGAAGATCGCCTCTGGTGGGGCTTAAGCAGAAATCTGCATGCTGCCTTGCCTCCATAAGCTTTTCCTGCCAGACTGCAACTCAGCTGACTATGGGAGGCATTAGGCAATTCCACTATACCCTGCTTTTACATTTATGTATAATATTCCTCTTTCCCACTATGTATAATATTTCCTCTTTATCCAGTATATGTGATCTGTAACCATGTGCATCAGGACTCCCAGCTCTACAAAAGCAAGGTACACGGTTTCACTTCAGGAAAGCACAGTCATGGGGAAAATAAAAAAGCCCCCAACATCCTACATGCTGTGTACAGCCAAGGGTGTGAACATGTAAAGTATTTAATGTGACAGAGCGCCATGCTATTTATATTTAGTAATGTCCCAGTCTCTCCTTTCTGCCCAACAAGAACTATTGGACAATACTCTCCATAGACTCCATTGCACTAGACCAAGCTACTAGGTTCCTACTGGTTTCCTCCAGCTGGGGTACCTTTACCTCCAGCCTGCCTGCTTTGGTGGAGGGGGAGAACAGCTTGTAAATCCCCCCCAGCAACGTTGTGAGAGCACAATGAGATGTATCCATGATTGATTATGTTGCTAGTAGTTGTATGCTTAACAAAGAGTTGCTTCTGTACTATCCCACATGGCATACATGGCTAACCCTTTCACACCTTAGTCAGTGTTGTACTTTGCTGTATTAATCTGCCTCACACCTACACAGAGCATTGCACTAGTCCTGGCGGTACTGCTGGGCCTGATACAAAGCAAATGAAACAAGGAGAAATGGAGGAGTGAGGGATGGAGAAGTAGCCCCCAGAAGGGGTAGTATGATCACCAGAATGGGTGAACATCTGAAGTGTGTGTGCTGGTAGATGACTGAATGAGGAAGACATACAAGTCTGGGCTCTGGGACATGCACCAAGACAAATGGACAAACTGCATATGTTTTTTGGCACCTATAGGCCATCTGCTAGGTTATTTCCCATCTTGAAGAGAGGGCATCTAGAACAAGAAGGGTGGACTGTACCTAAAGAAAAACAGTAAGGACTTCAGCAGAGAGCATAGCAGAACTTCATTACTCTTGTCCCACTCCCCTTAAAGCAAACATAAATGCTTCTGGTTTTGCAAGGCATGCCTGGTTTTTCTTGATCCATACTGAAGTAAGAGAGTCATTAGAAGAGACATTTGTTGCAGCCTGATGAGAGAAAAAGCACCCCTGGACAGCCTGGCAGAAGGGGCTAGGGTTACATTGCAGAATTTATTTCCCTCTTCCCATATTCCATGTGCAAGAACAAGCTTCTGGAAGTTGTCAGTACCCTCCCTCATCAAACATCAAGATAATATAGACCACTATGGAAAGGTAGATGGGCCTGCAGCTCAGTGTGAGCAGAGACAAAAGGACTGTGTGTGAAAGTGTTGGGGAAAACATCACAATTCTCTTGTTACTGTTTTTGCTTGGTTGTTCTTTTGCCAGGGCAGGCAAATAAAACTTACAGGTGACATTACTGCATAAAACCTTTGTTTTGCCACCTCCACTTGTTGTTGATAAGGAAGGGGAGTTCTTGACTTAGGAAGACCAAAGTGCAAATCCAGAAAGCCCAAGTGGCACACTATTCAGACAAGTTATTTTAATCCTTTTGTTGATCTGTTACATCCCCCTTGGAGTGGGCTCACATTTTAATTACATCACATAAGAACCAATCCAACTTTAATTGTAAGGCTTGCAAATTGCAATATTTGATTAAATCTGTGGCAGAGCTGGTTAAAAAAAAAAAAAAAAGAGTGAGTTTGAAAACACAAATTCTTGTAGCCAGAAGTTTTGGAAACCACATTCTATCCCTGTATCCAGTGAGATCTGAGAGCTGCTTCTAAAACCCAGGATCCTTCTCCAGGCTTGTGACTGTGGCTTCTAGCCTCAGTTTAGGGTACAGAATTGAGACCCATGATGTCCTGAGCCTAAATGCATGAAAGTGGATGGGCACTAGATGGCAGAAAGGGCTAAAAAAAGTGCTTTGATTATAGCTCACACTTCCAAAAAGTTCTAGTAGCCAAGTAGTTTTAGTGCTAGTGGACCGAACCCAGCACAGTAGCCCTTGAAGTGAAGCTGACAGCATTGAAACATATAAGAGCTTAATGAATGAAATAAAAATGACTCAGGATACAAACCAAAGATTATGCATGAATACACACATGTGAGAAACAGAAAGTCACCATGGGCTGCCCTGTTTGGAGAGCACTATTCACTAGCTATACACACAGTAGATAATATTGACATTTGGGTACTTTTCATTCTTTGTGTGTTTTTCATTCTTTACATTAACTTAAAAGGAATTTATACACTGGCACACAATGAGTTTCCAACAGCTGCCATAATTTTTTAGCACTGACCAGCCAGGCTATATTTGCTGGGAAAGCCCCATCCACCCTCACTGCAGTCCTACCTAGAGCTCTAGGCCTCCATCTCCACACGCTGCCCAAGAGCTGCTGCTGCAGCCGATGGCAGTGACGCACACTCTGGGCACCAGGGAAGTTCAGTAAAAAAGGACCCCTTCAGGAAGGCAATTTGCAACCAGACCCTTTCCCCATGCATGGAGAAGGGGATATGTTCTTATCTTGCCAAGTTCAGGAGGAGGTCTTGTCAGACAGATGCCCTGTCTGACCAAAGCCTGTTGGTGTGTCACACACTGACGAAGACAAGGTGAGGAACATCATTCTGTTGAAAGGTCAATCCTGAGAATCTCCATTGGCATGTCCTGCCAGAAGATGCTACATGGATGGCTGCCCCATCCCACCTACCATGGCTCAAAAACCCACTGGAAAGCACACCCCAGTGTGGTGTTTCCTGAACCATTTTTTAGTAAAGCAACAACAGAGTGGATCATCTCTGTGGAGGGATTTCCATCAGCAAATTCGGCTGATGGGCTGGGAATCATCCCAGCAAAGAGCCTGATCCTCCATCCCCAGTCTCCTCACAAACTCGGCAGAGCTCTGCCTGCCCAAAGCTTCAGCAGAGCCCTTTTTTAATAGGTGATACCAGGGGAAAGAAACCTTCTTGCCCATTCTGGTTCATGCTTCTCATCATGTACTCCCTGTGAGTCCAGGAGCTCCATTCAGTTTCTAATATCTGTTGCCATTAAATTTAGGGTTATATTGACCAAATTTACAAAGGGATGCTGCAGAGTGGGAGAAGGGAGGTAGGTGCTTATTGTTGTTTTCCCAAGGAGTCTGGATGTTTAAACTGTAGGGACTGTAAAGACTGTTAAGACCTGAACATTCAGCCTGAAACCTCCCCAGGGGATTTCTCAGAACTGGATAATTCACCACCGCCTCGGTTTGCTGGCTGAGGAACGGCAAAATCAGCCTGGGAGAGGGAACAATGAGCATGGTGAACGAGGGAGTCCTGAAAATGGAATTTTCCACGCGGCTACCGAGAATATGCCGCTGCTGGAAAAGGCGACACACAGGAAAGGGAAAACGCATCAGCTGACGGCAGCCCTGTCCTCACGCAGGACTGTCACAGGGGCGCCGCCCGGTGAGGACAGGCTGCCTCTCTTCCGCCAAGGGAGCAGAATAAATTCTGCCGGCAGCTTTTATTGCAGTTGCTGCTTTTAGCTGTTTTTCTCTTTAATGGGCTGGCGGGCCAAAACCCCCGCGCCGAGCTCGGAGAGCGCCGGTCCCGCCGGGCTGCGCTGAACCGCCCCGGCCTGGGCGCTGCCGGGGCCGGACCACCCCCCCACCCGCCACCGCCTCGCCCCGCGGAGCCCCGGCCGCGGGTTCGAGCCGCGGGTTCGAGCCCCGGCACCGCCCCCGGGCCCGCCCCCGGGCCCGCCCCGCCGGCAGCCGCGGCCCAGCCCGCGGTGGAGGATCGGGGCGGCAGCAGCGGAGCGGTGCCACCATGTTGTGCGGGGGTGTCTCGGCGGTCCGTCCCGCCACCGACGAGACGCAGCAGATCGTGCGGGAGGTGAGCGGCCGGGGCGAGCCCCGGGAGGGACCCGCGGGCCCGGGAGAGGGGGTCCCGTCCCGGTGCAGGGTCTGTCGGGGGGCCGGGGGTGTGCTCGGACATCGCTCTGCGCGGGGACAGCGCCGGCAACCCCCCGCAGTGTAAAAGCCGTAGGGAATTGGGAATGCACGGAGCAGTGTCCGGCTCCCGGAACCCTCCGTGCTCCCTCCTGGCCTGGCGTGGCTCGGTTGACTCCAGAGGAACTGTGGGCAGGGCGGAGTGCGCAGGGAGGGCCGGGATGCTGCCGGCTCCGGCCCTGGAAGTGCGGGAGATGGGCTGCGGCCACCGGGAAACCCAAAATGTGCCCTGTCCTGAGCTCGAGGAAGGAGCTGACATGGTTCTTACAAAGTCTAAACCTTGTGCTTACGTTTGTTTTTTGTTTTGTGTTTGGTGTTTTGTTTGGGTTTTTTTTAGTTTAGTTTGGGGGTTGTTTTTTTGGGGGGAGGGAGTTGCTTGGTTGGGGGTTTTTTTGTTTTGGGTTTGTTTGGGGTTTTTTGGGGGGCGTGGGGAGAATCGGGAAATAAGCAAGAAAAGTTACTCGCTGCTTCTGCTATTCCCCAACACAGAATTCAGCTCCAAGCACTGCCAGCTCCAAATCCTGATACTGTATTACTTACAGTAACTTAATTTACTGCTCATGTGTTAATGGAGCACGTACTTTTACTCTAAAAATGCCAATGTACAGCTATGTTTCATGGTCCAGTTTCTGTAATGGATGGCATGTGGCAATCTAGTAAGGAAAGATGAAGGGCAAGCTCCATCTTCTTATGCTCCTTGTCAATGTCCCGGGTTTGTTCCTAAACACTTACAGAGCATCCAAAGGCACAGCAGTCATTGAAACTATCATTTAACTTGTACAATCTAATGATTATTTGCTATAAAAAAAGAGACCGTTTGCAGTAGTAAGCACATTATTGAGAATTGATGAGAGAGTCACACTTAATGCTTTGACTTGAAAAGGCCTACATATCATGTTAAAGCTTATGCAAATATGCAATTAATGTTGCACGTGGTCTTAAAACTAGTTTTGAAATCCTGACTGTCTGGCAGACTGCAGTGGTTTGATAATCCAGAAATAAAGAGTGTGAAAATAAACCCCTCTTGGATTCAGAAGCGGACAGAATTAACTAAAAATCTGGCATTTTCATTTAAATCATATAAATACTTCAGAGTTTGTCCAACTTGTTTTGACTGCCAGTTTAAATTATTTAATGAAATACAAGTGGAAAGACCGAAAACTGAAACTTGCTAATGCAGTCATATCCTCATCTGGACAGACTGTGGAGAAAACATTAGTTTTGTTTAATCTAGGTAGACTTCTTAAATCGTTTTGGTTTTTTAAAGTCAAATCTTTGTGGAGATTTATTAGAGCCTGCCAGTTTGCTTGCCATAAAAATATTTCCTCTTCCTGCTTTTCCAGTTCTTGCCTTCATTGCACTGTTTCGTAAGAATCCTTGTGATGACTGAATGTCGTTCAGTTTTGTGACCCTGGCAAGTACTGCTGCTCGCCCAGAGCAGGTATAGTGTGGCACAGAACAGGACAGCTTCCTTCAGCAGTGTCTGGCTTAGGAGTCCCATAGGAACTGCCTCTCCACATCAAGGATTTCCACCCAGGGGCCTGTTCAGCCTTTGGCTTCTCACTGATAGCTGTGGCAGAGGTTCTTCAGGGTGATTTAGAACCATCTGCTTTTTAGTAGCTGTGCTAACCAAACCGGCTGTGCAGAGCAGTGAAGAGCCTTCATGGCCTGATAATTTTCAGTCCTGTGATTGAATCATTATTTGGGTGGGAAGGGACTGCATCTGCTGCCTGAGCACAGGGTGAGCAGCCCCAGGTTGCTTTGAGCTTTGTCCAGTCAGGTCTTGAAAACCTCCAAGGATGAAAATGCCACAAGCTTCTCTGGTCACTCCTGCTGTACTGCAGGAGTGTCCTCAGGGGAGAAGTTTTTCCTTATATCCAGTCTGAACCTCCAGTTTCAATTTATGACCATTGTGTCGCATTCTTCTGCCATCTCTCCTCAGTAAAGAGCCTGACTTCTTACAGGTACTGGAAAGTTTACCTTAAAGCCTTCTCTTCCCCAGGCTGAGCAAGCTCATTTTCTTCCTCTCCTCACAGCATGCGTGCTCCAGCCATCTGAGCTCATGGAATGCTCCGCTGAGCTCACTACAGTTTATTGACATCTTTCTTGTGCTGTAGACCCAAAACTGGACACATTATTCCAAATGTTCTCTAAAAATGCCAAGGAAAGGGCAGCGATTGCTTGCTTCCCTTCTGGCTGGGCTCCTGGCTGATGCTCAGTAGTATGCTCTTACCTTTGCTACCACCACGACACAGTGCTGGCTTGTGTCCCCCAGGACCCCCACATCCACACTGAGATCATGAACTGCCAAGGTGGGCTGATACCAACCCTTTTGGAGAGTATTTGCGTCTGGGATCTCCCTCTCCATACTGAATCAGAGTGCTCATTTGTCACATGCTGTGGTGAGTCATTGCTACTATAACACCCTGACAAGCTGGCAGCTGCATGTGACTCTGAGCTGCCTGCATTCATGGAGCCCAGTGTTCAGCTTGCTGGTGGAAGTACAAAATGTGCTGAACTGGGGCAATTTTGAGACCTCAGAAACCAACCTTGCACAATGCCTAGGGTTGTTAAAGGAGCACGAGACAGGATAAGGTCAGTGGGATACTTATGTCCACTCGGCTGCTTAAAATTTGTAAAAGTAGCTCTAGTGATGAAAACTGAAACCACTTGCTCTACCTTGTGACTCAGGGGAAGGGGAGGAAGTAGGACTGCCCAATGTTTTCTGGGGCTGTGCCCCTCATTGCATCTTAGCTTTGAATTCCATATGGCAAAAAAACAACTAGAAAAGTGTCCAAACATCATCATCTTGCTATCTTCCTGTTCATAGCCTGGAAGAAGCTTAGAGATATGGCCTCTGAGATAAGATGAAAAGTATGTTCACAGCTCCCGGGGACAGGATGGTCACTGGAATGGCACCAGAGTTTGGTCCTGTGCCTTCAGGGTGCTGGACAGGTGGAAGAACATACCATGTTGCAGGAATTGTTTCTGTTCCTACTTCACCTAGAGCACTGGAGCAGTGGCAAGTTGGCACTCGTTTTTCTCCAGAGAAGCAGATGGGTGGGATTCATGCAGGAAAGCAGATGCATTTATTCCCCTTGAATTTAGGAAGGGGAGGTACAGGATATAGCTAGAAAATCTGCTTGCTGCTGGTACTGTTGCACTGGGAGTGGAGGGAGGACTACACAATGAGGCCATGCACGAGGTATGGCTTGGGTAGAACTGCACTTGCACCAAGCACTCCAGGACAACTCATCTTGCCCTGGTAAGCAAAGGCTGAAATTTGACTAAGAATTTACCATATAGCCACGATATTCTAGACAGCCAAGCATGGTAGAGAAGAGCCGCAACTCACAAGAGTTCATGCCTCCCTCTAGGGTATTCAACAAGTCATTCTGACTTCTTGAGCACTGATTTGCATTTTGAAAACATTATAGACTCCAGCAGACATCGGAAGAATTGTCAAATAAGTGTTGTGCAGACTTGGTGTCAGTCTGTGGCAACTGACTCACGCCACACTCAGCTTTGCCACCTCCCTAGATTACTGGTCCTGCTCTAACCCAAAACTTAACATGATGCATTTTGATATTTTAATAATGTGGGAAATCAGGAACTCCTGGGAATTCAGCAGCAGTGACCTGTAGGCCTTAAGTCCTAAATACTTGAATCTTGCATCAGTCTTAAAACAACCTATTGTTTTCTTAAGGTGAAATCTCAGCTAGAAGAAAAAGAAGGGAAAACCTTTGATGTCTTCACTGCAGTGGAGTTTAAAACTCAGATGGTTGCTGGAATAAACTACTTCATCAAGGTAGAGGGCACTGGGACTTTTTTTTTTTAATCAATGTGTTTAATCTTTGGAATGGTGGAATTTTTCCATTACTTGACCAGGGAAGAATGCTTACGATTTGGCCTTGATAAGAAATTGTGCATTAAAAAAAAAAAATTAATAAATCCACCTCTCAGCCCCTTTCCCTGACTGTGTGAAATAGAGAAATATTCTTACTTTCATTTTCATGGGAGGATTAGGTGATATTTCCACAAAAATCATGGCTCCCAGTCTGGTTTAAAACAAGATCACACCTTCTGAGGCGATGGTTTTCCTTACTGCCTATCTGCTTCCCAATCCTCAAAACACACCAGTATACACCATCCCTCCTGCTGAAGGCTGTTCTCACTCCATGGATCTCACTGGGTTTCATGCTTTGCAGGTCCATGTTGGCAATGATGAGTTCATGCACCTGCGGGTGTTCAAGAGCCTTCCCCAGGAGAACAAGCCGCTGAGCCTCGACGGTTACCAGGGCAGCAAGACGAAGCACGATGAACTGGCTTATTTCTAGCAAGCTTATCTTGTCCATTTTCCTAATGGTTTCTTACGTGCATTTTCTATAGGCTGAGAAATGTTGATTCCTGTGCCAACAAAGGAGGGAAAAAGGTGTCTTTTTTAACGTAATGGTGGGAAAAAATTATTTCTTTCTGTCATTCCTTTCCTGTGCAGTCTCTAAATTTGAGAGTCATACAGCTGTCCTATTACCTGCACTAATGCAAACACAACTTTAGTTGCAACTTAACTTGGACTTCAGTCCTGTTTGTGGACTTCCTTGGTCTGGAAATCAGAAGGGGAGTGACACTAGTACTTGTGTATTTGTAGCAAGAAGCAAGAGGAAAGCCTGTCTTTTCTGTGCTGTTTTGCAGCTGTGAATACATGTGTAGCTTTAAACTGTACTATGTATTTTACTGGCAAAGACATGAAGAGAGACTTGAGCTGAAACAATTTTGCAGGGAAGGGATAGAGGGTCACAGTACTTTGAAACAAACATTCCCTTGGTAATCATGTTCATCCTCTTGCAGCAGTAGCATGTAATGTCCCGTAGAGGGTGTGTAAGTATAAAAAACCAAACCAGCTTGCTTATGTTCTCAGTCCTATGGAAAAGTCCTGAAAAGGAACTTATGCTGGACAAGCATTTCTGTATTAATAACAGTAAATATTTCTTTTGACTTGACATGGCATATTTGACTGGTGCTTCAGTGCTCTCTTTACTGCTTTTCAGTATTAGTTATTATCTTGCTCTGAGGTTTTTTTCCACGTATTTTTTATATTCCAGATAACCTTATGCTTATTCTATGCCTTAATTAGAAATACTTTATTTTAATCTGATGAGAGACCAGATAACAAGAAAGACTTCTGCAGGTATATCAGCAGAAAAGGAAAATAAGGACAATAGTTTGCAAAACTTATTTTATTTACTGTCACAGGGAAAACCCCCACACAACTTGCAGAAGTGAGGCACAGTTTCTCATCGACTCTCAGAAGTAGGTCAGGGGATCATCTCTGGTTTTGCCAGTCTGAAAACTGACAAGGCTGGGACCTTGGTTCTCATGAGGAAGACTCTGAAACACCTTTAAGTGGGCATATGTGCCATCAGAAACTTGGACCTAAAAACCAAGAGCAGGAAAGTGAGGAGCATGGGTTCAAAGCAGGTTCAAACAAAAGGATGCTCTTTAATGTTCTTGAAAGAATATCTTTGCCCGGGAGCTTAATTTTAGATACATCTTCATTTTTACTTCAACAGCTCTTAACCAAGTCTGGATAGTAACCAGTGTCAGAAACTGTCTACACCTGTCTAAACCTTGAGGTTCAGGTGAAGGGAAAGTGAGCAGGACTGCTTGGGGGTGGAAGCATCAGAAGGCACAACAAGAGAAAGGTTTTGGTTGTTCCTGTTTCAGTCATCAAGATGCCAGCACACCAGCACACAGCTTCTTGGCACATTGAGGGTGGGAGACAAGAGACAATGAAGAAATCTTAATGAATGAGGGGTGGGACAAGATGCAGAGACAGTGTCACCTACTAGAGGATACAGAAAGATCTATCCAAAACTAGCACATGGTCCTGAGAAACAATGACAACCTGAAAGCCAGGAGCCTTTGTCTGCAGAGTTACTCTAAACTGTTCAGTGCCTGAGTGGGCAACCTGACACATCTTGGTGCTTGTGGGCGTGCATGTGTGTGCCTGAAATAAATACTTTTTCAAAGAAATTCACCTTCCCCTCCAGAAAGTCCTCACATAAAGACTTGATAGGAAGCTGTATCATTTCATTCATACAGCCAAGCACAACAGGCACTAAACTCTCCCTCTGTGAGGTACATAGTATCAATGGAAAGTTTAACGCCTTAGGCACTGTTTTTACATGCTTTCTGGTGGCTGCAATGTACCACTATGTTTGTCTTGGTCTGGATTACATATCAGCTACATGTCTGCTGGTAACACATTAGTGATGTGGAAGATTCAGAAATACAAAAGAATGAATCTTGTGACAGAGCTTGTTCCAGTTACTGCTAAAATGAGTAACTGTTTCCCATCACAAGCAAAGTTGGAAAGAAAAGACAAATCATGTTTTCAGTGTTAAAGGTGGATTTCTTCCAAGTTCAGTTACTTGTCAGTCTTCATTTCTGAGTAGTTTGGTCATGAGACATAGCAGGGACAGCAGACAAGTATTTTACATTGCCCAGGTAAGCAATAAGATGGCCCTAAGGGAAGAAATGCAACTGGGCATGACTTCTAGCTGTACCTGTAATCTGTATTCTTCAGTGTTTTGTCCACCAAGTGAAAGCACATTTCACAGGAGCAAGGGAATGGTAAACATCGTTCATGTAGGTAAGACTAGCCACAGAAGAGATAGTCTGTCAGTACAGTCCCCTGAGCACAAATAACTGATAAGAGTTATTTTAAAGAAGCACCTGGGAAAGAAGATGTTTGGCAGTGTCTGTCCTTCCTGTCATCAACTAAATATGAGAAGCGTGGAGCAAATGCTCACCACATCTCTCTGCAGAATTACTCTCCCCCAGATGCTACCAGGCAATTTCTTTCCTAAAACAATTCCAACCCTTGTCAGGGGAGCGTGTCCCACCAGGCACATGTCCCCACACACGTGGGGTTTGAGAGACAGCAGTCCCATGCCATGTGTGCTCTGCTCCAGAAGGCCAGCCGGCTGCTCAGCAGTGCTTGCTGGCCTTCAGATGCAAACCACACCCAGCAAGTTCTTCCGTGCTACTTCACAGAAAGCTGCTCGCAGCCATGGGTAAGGTTTTCTAGTAGAGGATGAATGGTGCTCTCAGAGGGATCTAAACTAAGCAGGACCGGTTTTTCCTCCACAGCAGAGAGAGGGTTTGGAAAATACAGAATGAACCAGCAGGCAGGCAGTACCTCCGCAGCATGTGATGCGGAACCAAAACATCAACACACCTGCTTGCTTGCAAAACTAGTCAGCAGACTATGAGATGCTTGCCCTGCATTACAAAATGGACTCTAACTCTCCATCTGATCTTCAGTCTGACTTCAAATTCAGCATAGTAAACACAACAGGAGGTCACAGACACAAGAGGAAAGCTACTTTGCTTTGAAGGGAAACAGGAGAGCAGAATTACAACTTGTTTAAATCATTAAGTTGGTAAGTCTTTGAATGAGATTATCCTGAGAAACTTACCAGTCCCATCTGAAGAAGCCTAGTGCATATTTTTGAGGTTTTTCTACTCCTCTTCTACAGTAGTGCCAAACAGCACCTGGAGATAGTCCCCAACTCTATTAATCATATCATACTCACATAGATGTTTTTCTACTACATTTGCTTCTCTTTCCAGCTCTAAGCGACTCTGCAAGTCACCTATAGTGTTTAACAGCAAAGCACTCCCTCTTATAATATATACAAACCTTAATAAAGTAGATTGTCCCAGCAACCACTTGAGTCCTGTATGCTATGGCTCTAAACATGGCACAGTTCCTGTTTTCCTTGCTTTCAAATTGTGGCTTCACCTGTAGAAAGAAAGGGGAAAGTGACTGGCAGGTTCATATTTCAGCTTTTCATTCACATATATCACACATACCCCCTTAGTGAAATAAATCCAGAAACCCCACTCTAAATTAATTTACACCAAGACCTCCAGCCTCTTTCCTAGCAGTGCCTCCAGCATTCTTTAAAATCCTGTTAGAATTAGACTTCCTAGCTTATTTCCCCTAACTCAAAGGTGTCCAGCTGAACTGCCTGTCCCCTGCTCAGTATAGCAGAAACTGCTACTTGCTGCCCTTTGAATTCCATGTCAAAGGAGATAGCCTGTAGTGGTGCACGGGGTTGTTGCGACCCAAGTGCAAGACCCAGCACTTTGCCTTGTTAAACCTCACATAGTTGACCCCAGCCAATCAATCCACCTGTCCAGATCCCTCTGCAGAGCCTTCCTGACCTCCCACTCAGCTTGGTGTCATCTGCAAACTGATTGAGGGTGCCCTCGATCCCTTTGTCTGGATCATCAATAAAGATATTAAACAGGACTGGCCCCAACACTGAGGCCTGGGGAACCCCACTAGTGACCAGCCACCAACTGGATGTAACTCCATGCACCACCACTCTCTGGACCCAGCCATCCTGAAAGATTTTCACCCAATGAACAGTGCACCTGTCCAAGCCATGGGCTGCCAGCTCCTCCAGGATAATACTGTGGGAAATGGTATCAAAGGCTCCAGGTAGACAACATCCACAGCCTTTCCCTCATCCACTAGGCAGGTCACCCTGACATAGTAAGAGATCAGGTTGGTCAAGCAGGACCTGCCTTACCTAAACCCTTGCTGGCTGGGCCTGATCCCCTGGTTATTCTGTACATGCTGTGAGCCTTGCACACCAGGCACAGGGAGTGTGCAGCAGTATCGACCAACGCCTTCAGCCACACCACTTCCTAGTTTTGTTTCCTCAAGGAGGGCCTACGTTATGCTTTGTGTAGTTGCCAAAGGGAGAAGAGCTCATCTTTCAGAGCCTTGAGGGTGAAGGTAGATGGGTGGAAACATGAGATGGGAGACGCAAAAGGAGTTTTCCCATGCTATGTTGTTCCCTTTGCATTCCTCAGGATGCACTTTATACTTGTTTTAAAAAGAGCTGCTGCACTGCAGGACGTTAGAAGTTCTGCAGAGCTGCTTCTCATAGCTGCTTCCAGGACAGGATCACTGCCTGTAACCAACTACCTGGCAACTGGGCTCACTGGCCTGCCTTTTGCCAAGTTCACCTTGCCCCACGGGCTCACCAGCAGGCCCTGCATCACAGCTGTCAGCCTAGAAGACAATGCCAGCAGAGAACACACTGTTTAAAAATAGCTTTCTCCTGAATATATAATTTTTTAGTCCATACTAGTATGTGGTTTGTCCTATCCACATCCTTTACTGAGGAATTATTTCTACCAGGTACAACCTTCTCCCTTCAAATAGCCACCTCTCCTCTCTTTTCAAACAAGCCCTTTCAGTGCTGGCAGAGCAGAGCTGGGCTTTGAACTACATGTTCAAAGGTAGCCAGTTCAGTTCACTGAAGGTAGCCAGTTTAAACCCTGCTTCAGTATCAACACCTGGTCTCCCAGCCTTCACACAACCTTCTGCACTCAGCTCTTTGCACACAGAGACTTCATTTATAGACAGGGTGCAACTCACCTGGTTAACAATCTGCTGGATTTCTGGAGTAGCAGCCTTGGTGTCAGATAACCCCCCAGTCATCATAGTGGCAGATGCCTTCTCTGAAACGACTGGTGGTTCTGAAATGGATGATTCTGAAAAGGGAAGTTTAGCATAGTCTGACCAGAGTCACCAGGCATCTCATATATATACATAAACATGTGTCATGGGATCATGTGACCTGCAACACATGGAGCCTACCATTACTAAACTGGTGAAGAAGACAAATGGGGAAAATGGAGAAAAAGCAATGTAATACACTGATAATAATAAATGTAAAAAAGCACTTCAGAAATCTTAAGAGTGTATACTCTTCAGGTCAATGAGAAAAGCAAACATTAGCCTCTAGCCACCTACATCTCAAGACAGTTGGTTTGGGCTGCAAATGGAAACTCTTGCCTCCCCACCCACGTGCAGATGACTGGTCTGTGCACTTAGGAAATGGATCAAAGTCACACCCAGTATTTCCCAAGAAGAAAGCATGCAGTAGCTTCCCTACTGCAGGTCCTGTTTAACTTGGCATTTTATTACCTCAGTATCCTTCCCAATGCAAAAGAGGAGCAGATTGCATCTTATCTTCAGTGACTTGACTTCCCTCTGCCTAACCAGAAAGGTCTCAACTTCAGGTAAGTACTGCAAGAATGGTATTTCTGCTTCCTTCCCATCAGAAGCTCTAGAGCTGCATTCAGGCAATACATAATAACAACTGACTATACAGTAACATTTACATTTCAACTGAAACCCGAGTGCCAATTGCTGGGAAGACAAAGTACGATCCCTCTTGCTAGAGGAGCAGTGTGTGCACAATTGCTCTCCTAATGCCAAGGTACACTGCTGAAACAGGCAACAGGCAGAATAGATAGTCAGAAGGATTAATTCCCAGTTACAGACATGGCACAGTCACATTCATGACTATATATGAATGGAAAAAGCTCAAAACCTACTAGTCCCCTATTAGGGACGACTAAGAAGTGTTACCAGCCCTCCCAGGTAAGGGAGGACTAACACTTCCAGACCACAAAAAAAATTATTCCCCTTTGGTATTGCTGCCATCCCTCTCTCCAGAAAACAGGAGGAATATTGTTCCAGAGCAAGGACCACAGAAGCACCAAGAGACCAGACAATTTGTAGTCTCCAGGGGTGGGTACGTGGGAGCAGGTGAAATGAGACTACGGGCTGCACACAGGCAAAGGGCACTTCTGCTGCAATCAGCACGAAGGAGTTTACCCAAAACAAGCGTGTTTATGGCCACAACAGTGGGGTCTGTGTAGCACAGACTTACCAGTGTGCTACCCAGGCTACTGACCCTCCTCCTCACAGGTGACAAGTGATGCAACAGGCTCTAAACAAGGACTTCACACCTGACTTCTAGGCCTGTTTTTGGTACAAAGGACCTGAGATTGGGAATCTGGGGCTCTAGGGGCCCTAAACTCAACAGTATATAGATCAGTGTTAGAGCTGTTACTGATAAAGGTGTTGCAGAATTTCCCAAACTTGAGCAGCAGTGCTATGGGAGGGCATGAAAAGCATCTGAGGAGAAACAGTTGTCTTGAGACAACATCTTTTTGAACCAAGAGAAAAATGCTTCCAGGTCTCAGGAATAATGAGAATGGGAGCTGTTAAAACTGGATTTCTGCCAATTTCACCAACTTCATCTCTCCAGATACGGAGTTGCTCATAGCCTCATTTGTGCAGCTAATGACAATTCAAGCTGATGAGCTCAAAATCCCTCCTTTGCACAAGACCCTGCTGATTCACCCAAATGCTGATCATGTTCCAACACAGTTGCTACCATGCGTCTTATTCACACAGCAGGACAGACAAGTGACTGGAAGAGCCAGCTCACCTTACTGAGGCCAGAAGTCACAGAATGTGTCCAAGAACCACACAAGCACCAGTGCTAAAACAGAGTATTTTATAAGCCTGTCCGCTCACCAGGATACAGACCTCAGTAACTTCGTTGGGAAGGGATGTTATGGTCCCAAGGACAGCAGTACGCCCCTGGAGAACACTTTAATTAGCAAGAAATACACTGAGCACAAGGTGTAGGAAGGTTAATTTATAACCTTGGAAAACCTCTAGGTGTGAAACTAAAGATGTTAATGTTGTGCCAAATCATTCACTGGACTGCATATTTCTGAATTTGCTGGTTTTTTACTTCAAAGCATAAGAATTTTTTTTTCTCCCAGATGGCACAGAGTTGTGCACAAGGGAAGGAAAATCAACACTAATTGTCAGCAAGATGATGCTGAAGTTTACACAGGCAGATCAATCTGTTTTCTTTCCATGGCAGTGCTAATGCCCCAAAATCCAGTGATAGTTTTAAGACTGGGATGCAGTACTCATCCTGCACACATACTTCAGGAAGTCACTTTGAAGTGCTGACGTTTCACAGACCTGTCATCAAAGATGATCAGTGGCAATGGATTAACCTCATCCTAGGTAACCTTCGCCTACACCCCTCTCTAGTCATCTTCAGATGTAACAAAACAGGATTTGGAACAAAAGCATGAAAAGAACGGTGGCTCCCATTCCATCTCTTGCACAACATCGACAAGCTAACGCCTGTCCCCTCTTTTAGGATTTGTGACCTCTGATCTTACGTACCATTCCAGCCTGCACTCTGCATTTGCACAGATGAGAGTTTCCCTTCAATTTACTGCTGTTATATTGGAGAATCTCTTCTGGCAGAACATCTCTGGCATTCTTTAGAGTCGTGAAGCTGAGGAAGATCTTGCATCGTGTACTACCCCAATAAGGAAGAAACAAAGTTTACAGCTTGCAGGCCACTACTCTCTGGTCCTGTATATGCAAGTTGAAGAACTACAAGCTACAGTAAATAAAAACACTGGTACAGTAACAAAACAAAGCAAACAAAAATATAAAAAACCCCTGACCAAAATCCAAACCCCAGAGTTATGTATTTACAAGTCATCTTTAAACCAGAAACAAAGTCAGCTCTGGAGGAACAATTGTGAACACCCGAGTCAGCAGTTCAGCCTTCTGGTTTCACAACATAAAGACACCTCATTGTGACTGGATTCTATGACATATGGTCTGAATGTTTTCAAGAACTAGAGGAAAGCAGCCCTCCATGTACCAGTTGAAGATCTGTTTTCATGATCACAGTAACATCAGCCTTGACTTTCACCACGCTGGTCTGAAAAAAAAGGTTTCCCCTTTTGCTCCTCACCCTCATTTCAAAAGATTTCTGACATCATACATCAAGAAAGATCAGTAGAAACCTGGCTTTCAGCAGCACAAAGATCTCATCCCAGCCTATGCTGAGCCTGTGGTACCAGTAAAGAGCCTCCTCCCCTCAGTCTGCTTCATGACGACCAAATTCTTCCAACCTTCATAATTCGATAATTCTATGATTTTATAGCAACAGAAAAATCATGATATATTTGCTGGAAAAGCCCCCCTCCCTGTGAAGGACTAGGAATCAGAACGGGGAAAATCTCAGTAGTGGAAAAGGATGTACAGTGATTGAACGGACTTTACGATGCAGACTTTATAGTTATTATGTACACACGCATTGTATGTTCCCCCGAATCTGTGCCTTTCGGGCACATCCCGGCCTGTTCGCCTCCCTGCTCCTCTGTTTCTCTGCCGATTGGCTGGAAAAGCTGCAGACAGGAGACAGCCCCCGTTCGCCCTTTCCTCCCCTGGTTCCTCCTGCGCTCCTCCCCTTTTTGCCCGTATCCCTACCTTGGTTTGTCCCCCCGCTTGTCTGTCTCATGCTCTGCCCTGTGTTCTGGCCCTTTGCCCTCCCGAGCTGAGAAAGACTGGGTGCACACGGGAATAAAGCATTCTACCTGCATCCCACTCTCGTGTCCCGGACTCGTGTAGTGCCACGGTCCTCCCCCCTTTTTCGGACCGTGGCACACCCCCCCTCACTGTAGTCTTACCTGGAGCTGTAGGCCTCCAGCTCCACAGGCTGCCTGAGAGCCACTCCTGCAGCGAATGGCAGTGACACACACTCTGGGCACAAGGGAAGTTCAGTAGCAAGGACCCTCTTTGGGAAGGTGATTTACAACCAAACCCTTTCTCATGCACAGAGAACGGGATATATTCTCGTCTGGCTGAGTCCAAGGGAAGAGGAGGTCTGGTCAGGCAGATGCCCAAAAGCTGGTTGTGTGTCACACGACACAACACAACACTGATGAAGACAAGTTGAGGAACATCCTTCTGTTGAAAGCTGGAGCCTGAGAACCTCCATTGGCACGTCCTTCCAGAAGATGCTGACATGAATGGCTGCTCCATCCCACCCACCATGCCTCAAAATCCCACTGGAAAGCATGCCCCAGTGTGGTGTTTCCTGAACCATTCGTTAGTGAAGCAACAACAGAGTGGATCAGCTCTGGAGGGAGATTTCCATCAGCAAACTTGGCTGATGGGCAGGGAACCATCTCAACAAAGAGCTTGATCCTGCATCCCCAATCTCCTCACAAACTCGGCAGAGCTCGGCCTGCTCAAAGCCCCAGCAGAGCATTTATTTATAGGTGATGGCAGGGGAAACAATGCCTTCTTCCACAGTCTGGTTCATGCTTCTCACCATGTCCTCCCTGTTAGTCCACAAGCTCTGTTTAGTTTCTAATACCTGCTGCTGTTAAATTTAAAGTTCTGTAGACCAACGGGGGAAGGAGACTGTCTTCCCATTCCTTCAGGCACACATTCCTGCTCCCCGCCCCACCACCCCTCTCCTCCCTGTGAGTGAAGCTGCACTTAAAGGAGGATAGTTTGGGTTCTCAGTTCCCCCGTGCCAGTAATTGTCTATCTCACACTCTTTCTGACAAGTCGCCAATAGCTTGCATTTAATGCACTGAAACAAACCCAAAAAGCCCAAGATACCCAAGAGAGTTTTGGAAAGAGGAGCTGAAGTGGGTGGGCCCTGTCTTTCAGCTGTAGTACCCCAGGTGGCAGAAAGAGCTTGAAACAGTATTTTGGAGCCTACTTGAGCTTTAGCCGGGCAGCGGCCCAAGGCATGACACACAGCAAAGGAACAAATAGCTTTCAAGCTTTATTTTATTTTCATGCATTTACTGTCATGGTCAGAACCCCCACGTGACTTGTAGAAGTGAGGCACTGCCCTCATCGTGGCTCAGAAGTAGTCCAGAGGATCATCTCTGGTCTTGCCAGTCTGAAAACTGACAAGGGC